CAATCATATTTCCTTTCACAGTCATCATAAATTTTTTTTTTCATCCCAATAGATCACTACATGCTTTTAAGTCAAATACTTGTTTCTTCCTTTCCACCAAAATTGTTTTCATTACCCAGTATAAGTCATTATCGTCTTTCTTTTTTTAAAATTAAGTTAGGATTAAGTAGTATAATAAAGGTCAACTCAAAAAACAGTGTAACCTGTAAAAATGTAAATCCTAAGGACAACGTGCTGCATAAGCTGAAAACTATCTTACTTTTTCCAGCAATCAAGGAAAGAGTAAGTGAAACGGGAAGAACTGATGCAAGTTCTAAGTGACTAAAAAATCTTTCTAACTATAACCATCAACTTGTGGAGACCATGGGTCAATTAAAACCCCACAGGAGCAGCTTTCATTCTAGTTGTATCAGTTTTGATTCTATTTCTGAATGGCCAAAGTTCAATTCCCAGTATTTCATTCATCATATCAGTTCCTGATACTAGAATGCAGAACAAGAAAGCAAAAGTGGTCACAAACCAAAAACGATTTCTGCAGGAAATGCCTCCAGAAGAATCACCAGCGGACAGTTTCAGGCTTTCCCCTCCTTGGCCTAAAAAACATCACCTCATTTTCAAATGCACAGAAAGCCACACAAAGTTTGGACCCTCTTTGTCCTAACTAGGAGGATTAGAAATGCCGCATGTTAATACAGTTGAAGGCTAGAGGACAAGTGAAAAATGACTCTACAAATCTTCTTTCCTCAAGAAGCCAGGCTTAAAAAACAAAGATAGCAAACACGTTTGGCTTATTTCAAACAAGTTATGTGAACACTAGATCACAACACACAAAGGTACTCTGCAAGCTGTACACTCTATCTACAAGCTTCACTGTTAAGGATGGCCCAGAAACACAACTAACCACACGCTGCAGCCTTCAGGCGATAAAGCATTCCCAAGGCTGCAGTCACACGTCCAGAAATAAGAAAGGGGAAGTGTTTGGAAACCTTTTTATAAAACAGAAAACGTCTGGTTAAACAATACCAAGGCACATGACCGAGTCGGCAACAACCAAGAGGTGAGCTCATGACAGACTAGAAATATTTCTCCTCTGAAGCGTACAGTTCTCTTCACCTTTCTTCCCTTCATTTTATCTTTGTGGTGGAAGAGGCAATGCCTGTGAGAGCTGAAGGAAACACACACTTGGATGTCTGTGTCTCAGATGATCTAGTGGAAAAGACCAGCTGTGGGTTGGGGAAGGAGCTCGCCCCCAGCTCCTTGCTTTCCAGGCACATCAGCAGCATGGCTGCTTGGTAAAGCTCTGCCCACTGCACCAGGAGGCAGTTCTGTTGTTATCCCAAAAACTTACTGATTCTGAAAGCTGTTCATCAGGACTAGTTTCAACTAGAACAAACAAAATACCGCATTGTTTTCCTCCAGTCCATCTGTTTCTCTGTGAAACACCACATTTACCCAGTTCACATAAGCATTTTACTTGATGCACACCAGGACTTCTCACTTGAAAGGAGAGGGAGCTTTCAGATTTGACATCATTTTGCATTTCCCTGGGACATAAGCACCTTTGCAAAACAGACACTCCTGGATCTCTTCCTTTCCAACTCTCCTAGCTGCTCTCAGCTGCCCACCTGTAGCCAGCAGAAGTAACACTGGAGCCCAAGGCCATTACCAGTGCCCTGCATAACCACCAGTTCTGTCTCTCTGTGACCTGACTGCTCCCTACAACACAGAGGGACCCTCTCAAGCTTGAGGTCACATCCCAAAACTGCCCACCTCAACCCAGACCCTTCCCCATGCTGGATTTTACTAACCTTATTCCATTCAAGTGCAGGGTGGCCATCTCTCCCTCTACAGCAGCTGAGGAGCGTAGGCCAGATGCTGCCTCTGGCTTTCAGTCCAGCCTCCACTAAAGGAGCAACTTCTGGCCCCTTTGTCACCTCTCCACTCCTTTCAAATTCCCTCTTTGTAACTGCTTTCCTCACTTTCCTCTTTCTAAAGTTTTCCTCAGCCCGTGTCTCCAAAACCTTTCCAAAGTAGCCTGTTTTCCTTTCTCTGGTTGAGCTGCATCTGTTCCCAATTTGCTGCCCATTCAACACCTGGGCAGGGAATCAAGACTTAACGCTTTGCAGGTGGGGGTAACAGTCCCACCACAATGAGCTGTCTAACACAGAAGGCCTAGCACAACAGCACTAGTGCAAAAGTACACACCAGGGCCAAGAAAGGAAGGACAGCAGCCTCAGTCTTTAGTCAGCCCAGTGCAAAGAAGGTGAAACTGCACCCAAGCAGGAGAGTTTTCCAGATATGAAATTTCTCAAATGAGTCTAGAAAGCACTTAATTTAAAAAAAAAAATTAAAAAAATAAAGAAGACATCCTCATAGCCACACGAAGTTGCATCAACACATTCACTGGAGACCTAAGAAGTTCTATTATAATCTTCCCATCCAGAAGATGGGACGCAAAAGTCTTCAAGGGATCACCCTTCCAACCTGAAAGTATGAGGCAAGTTTCCTAGATACTTCTAAATGGGAAACAAAGTCTCCAAAACCCAAAAGCCTACGAGGTGGAAGGGAGGGAGGAGGGGAAACAGCTGGATCCCACACAAAAGACTGACTCCAAGCCAGAAACTGCAGGTAAATCGTGTGTCGCAATATTCTCAGCCAACAGCAAGACCAACAGACAGGAGGAAAGGGCAGTTTGCTCCCTGGCTGGGAAGCTACAGCCACCCATGAGAGGTCTGCATTGGTCTCACCTAAACATAAACATCACAGAACAGCAATGCTTCTACCACTCTCTCCTCTGTTCTTCACTTTACAAAAATCCCCTCACTGCACATATGATGTGCAAGCCATTGTGTAACTAAATGGCAGGATGCAATGTAAAGTGGTGAAGACTAAATATATAATCAAGCTTTATTATGACCTTAAGAGGCATAAAAAAGTAAATGGAAAGAAAAATACCTTTACTAGGTACCAGTATCAATTTTGAGCACTATTGAAAAGAGTTATTTTCAGGTAGAAATTCTCAGCACTAAGACAACAGCTACAAGTTTGTACAAAAAATGCTTTGCAAATCTGCAGTTTAGATTTAACATTAAAAAATCCAGACATAAGCACTTAAAAGGCAGATGTGAAAGGTCAAGCAGAGAAAAAGCAAAACTGACCAAAATTGAGACTTTGCAACTTTACTTCTGGAATTTTGTGTAAAAGGGTAAATGAGTAAATGTGGAATTTTCCAGAAGCACAGAGACCCCGAGGAGGACAATGCAAACTAGAAAGGAGTGTGTTCCACAGACAGCAATTCCTTCACCAGCTGATTACATTACCTGTGAGGCAAAAGGTTAGAGTGAATACAGGCTTTGTAGGCGATAAGAACAGAGCAGCCTTTCTTTGTCAGGCTCTCTAAGCTTTCTTTAAACAGCATTGCACAATTTAAAACTTGCCGTAATCAAGGAGGTGCAGACACAGATCCACAGTAAGAATTTTAAAAACACTCTAAGTAGAAGAGCAACACAGGTTAACCCTGGATGTTAAGGATGGAAAGGGAAGCAAACAGCAGCCACTATGAAATCTGGAAAACCTCTTTTTGGGCTTGGAGCCGACTGTGCAGCCCATCTCCCACCAAATGGACACGCTGCCATCACCCAGGAGCAAGTGAGAAACGCCCATGGCTCACAGCTGGCAGGTCTGAAGCTTTTAACCAGGCCAACAAATAAGGAGATGTGAAACATCTACCCTCAGGTAAGGCAGGCTGTGCAGTGGGGAACGCAACGACAAACCAGAGACGTGGATTCGAGTCCCAGTTTTGACATTGATTAGTGGCTCTGACCTTGTACAAAAGCCAAATCAGGCACCACTAAGAAAGGAGCCGTCTTAGCTTTTATAACCCCGACCCCTCATCTCCCAGAACTGACAGAAGAAACAGGAAAGAAAGCAAGAAGACAGGCCCTGTCATCACAAGTCTGGCAAAACCAGAAACACTGCACAGGGTGAAAGTCTCCAGCTAAGGAGTGAGTGAAAAGGCAAAACTGAGCAGTTTATTTTGATAGGGAAGGAAGATAGGAAGAGTTATCTGTACTTTATGGTTTGGCACAACAGCTTGGAGTCCAACAGTTGCGTCGTCGTGACACGTAAATCAGCCTGTTTTGATCCCTGGCTGTTCAACAATTTGCAAATATTAATTAATCAGTACTCCATTGCTGGTTTGCAAGAGGTTACACCTACAGTTCTGATCTTTCTGCTTCTTCCCTCGCCCTTCCTCAAGGGGAGAATTGTGGAGATGCTGAAATCTTGCTTTAGGGTTAAAATACCTATTTGAGTGTTGCCCGTACTTGTTAATGAACTCAAAGAAAACTTAAAGAGATCTCTCTGGTATTATTCCTTCAACCATTTCAAGCAAGAGTGTTCAGGTGGCGGCTGCTTTTGATCAGAAACAGACATCATCAGAAAAGTTCGTACTTCTCCTTTTCATCAGGAGGGTGACATGAGACTGAAGACTCATCTTGCAAGTCACAGTAACACAGAGCAGAGGGGAGAATTTTTTTTCAGAATCACACTGATCTACTAACTGGGCAAAATTTTAATCACATATAAGCAAGCATAGTGATTAAAGATCACGTACATGCCCTACTCAATGAGTGAAGCAAGAACCTCAACAGCTCCAAGTACTGGTACTGGAGCTAGTCTCCCCAGCATCAGTGAGTCCACACAAAAGCAAAATAAGCTATTGACTGGGGTGCAGGCAGCACATCCCATTTAGTCCAGGCTGTTTAAATGACAGACATGCACAGCCATCAATATCTAAAGTATCCTGTAGGAATTCCTGCATATGCACCCAGGAAGACACAAAGAAAAGCACCCAAGGCCTTACATTATTAAAAGAGGGGGAAAAAAGTTTTATATTAAACAATTATTTTCTCTTAGATCTCTAGAGTAGCAAGCATTTACATAGTTCAACTGGACATTAGGCAAACTGGCGTTAAACAGCTTAAGTTTTTGCTTCTTACCTCCTCTGGTACAATGATTAAAGGGTATTTGTCCTCTGATAAGAAGTTAAAAATAACCCACACTTTAAATGCATCTTCATCACTAATCAGCAAAGGACTTTTAGAGAGGTTCTTTTTAGCACAGAGAGTCCAGCACATCCTGTTGAATTCAACTTTGTCAAAGTTTCCTTGCACCTAAAATGAAGAAATTGAACCAAAAAAACATTAATATACACAAATGGCACAGAACAACAGACAGGCAAAGTTTAACAGGTTAAATCACACAAAAAGCACCAAGAAGATTCTAGCTTGCAAGAAACATCAAGACCCAAAAAGAGCACTGTAGCAGCCTAGTCTGACTTCCTGCATGGGGTCAACTAAGGTATTTCTTCCAGCAAAATCTACATCCAACCTCCAATTTCTGGTCAAGTTAATAACACCCTGACTTCATGTGAAGGAGGCTACACTGCATTCTGCATTTTCTCTAGGGCTTTAGCTTCCAAACTATCTTCACAGCTGTCTTAGTTCCAACTGCCCTTCTATTGCGCTGAGCTACTGAGAATTGATATAGCAAATTTGGAAACCATTATAGCCAAAACTATATGTGGATATGCTAAAAGCAATATTGGAACAATAGCTGGGAAAGACCTTTAAGATGTTGTTCCACTTCACATTACTCTAACGCATCTCTTCTAGGATATTCATAAATATGTAAGATTTTTTTCTTGAACACTAATCCACCTAAAACCTTTCCTTTTTTCAGACTTGCAGATCTTTTCCTTACTGATAAAAAAAAAATCTTGTTTTTGTTATCCTTTATCATACTTAGCAACTGCACATACCCATCTGTGAATTATTTACATATGCGAAAGCTTTCATTTCCTCTATTTCCTTTTAAAACCCTCATTATGTTAGAGATTAAATCCATTTATCTCCCTACAGCTTTGCAATGCTATTTCTTTGCCAACATGTAACCGATAAAGGCATGTTCTTCACTGTAATGGAAGTCTCTTGAGATTTTGGAAAGCATGTCTAAAGAAACAGGTTCTTGTACCTCTTGTGGTAATACAACAGTAACGTTCAGTAACATTTTCTTATGACAGGCCAAACCATGCATCTTAGATGCTTCAAGGACACCATTGCAAACTGGATGATCTCCTATCCAGTCTGGTAAGCGGTAAAATATAGTGGAGGGTGAGCCAGAGTGGCTAAGTCAAAGATAGACTAAGGAAGTGGATGAACTGATGTGGCTGGAGGGAAAGGAAAAAAAAAGACCAAAAAAAAAAAAAGACAGAAGTAAACAGGAAACCAACCCTATGCCAAGAAGCACTTTAGAGTACAGTTTCCAGCACTAAAAGTGAGCCTATGAAAGAAAGCCATAGACTTTGCATGCTTGCAGAGCAGGCCCCAAGGTAAGTGACCATGCAAGAAGCCAGTTACAGCCATCCTTTGAGAAAGTGGAAGTTGTAGGAGCTATAGCTGCTACAGCCACAAACTCAACATCCTTTTTTTTTTTTTTTTTCACAAAAAACACATGAAACACCAGCTAAGCAAACGAACACCTTTGGAAGAAGGGCTAGAAGCCAGGTTTCCTTTTCCTCCCTCCAATTTGCCTGTGCCTCATGCCTCGGCTACTTTTGCCTGTGCTTTTTCCCGCCTGTCCTCCCTACCCTGCCCAATGAAGCGTGACTTCTTCTCCAAGACATCTTCACCCACCCAGAGGATGAGCAGTTCCACCTTGGAAATGTCCTAGTTGTTATGCTACTCCCAAGGAAGATGCCAATGCAGTGGGAAATCTCCTTTCCTACAGCCACCACCTGGCCAGTGCTCCAGGAACTATAACTAAGATGGATTGCTCTATGAGCAGCTCAAGTTTAAAGCACAGCAGCAACCAGTGACCACAGGGAGAAGTGTGAAGAAAGGCACGGGTCCCTGGCTGGGGTAAAGGAAAGTGTGTGGTTTCTGCTCACGTAGCAAAGCTGGATCGCGTGCGCCTCAGAAACTTGTGTCAAAACCCAAGTCATCTGCAGCATGTTACTGCCCCCGGGACTAGGCAGCAGCCACGAAGGAGGTTTCAGGACCATTTTGCCACAGGGGACTATGTTGTGCTGTGCCAGAGGTCCCACTTCACACATTCCTTTTTTTCAGAATCCAGACTTGGTTCTGAAATGGACTTCACGGGACCCACGAGGTATCCAGCGCAGAGACACTGCTTAGGAATTATTCAAGAACAATCACCAGATGAGAGTGCAAGTCCTGGCTCTTTAAAATAACACTAATTTTGCATCTGTGTGTTTTTTCTAAATGATGAGGCTGTCTGTTAAATAAAGGATATAATAACAAAATTGTTGTTCTGGGGATATTGGGAGGCAGGGATGGAACTATATAGTGCTCTTTAATAAAGAATGAAAATTTCCCTCAGCAATTTGATGTAGCAATGCCAACTGTTCCTGGTACCTACATTCTACAAGAACATTTGCACTGGGTGCAATCCCAAATTGCTTTAGAGCTAACTCCATACCACAAAAGTCTTGGCTGTGTTACTTTGGCTTCCTTGACCAGCAAAGCTCCACTATAAGTGCCTATGTAATAATTACTCTGAATGAATAATCTCTGAATTTATAAGAGACCATTTCTAGACGTCATTTCAAAAAGTAAAAATATTTTAACAGTGTCTAAAGTTATACTTGAACTTATTAGCAAAAGTACTTCTATTAGTTGAGAAACTATAAAAGTAGAAACATTTCAAACAGGAGGTACTCATGTCAAAAAAAACCAGTCATAAACAAATATACAAATTGCTTTTTCATGGCATGAACAAAACACATTTACAAAAACAGATTGGGTCAAAGACTACCCTGGAATTTAAATTTTAAAAGGATTCCACATAACATCTTTAATTACAGTGAGACTCTACTATGAATCCTACAGTGAAATCATCTTGATGTGAAACTAAAATAAGAAATTTATGACGCTGTACTTAGAGACCAGAATTTTGATTGTGTTTGGCCAGAGTACTCATCCTGCTTGCAACCTGTGTGAATACCACACAATTCTGTTGTTTAATTAATGAACAAATCCTCATAAAAGAGATTTTTCCTGTGCAATAGTATACGTGCAATAGTATTAATTAATGAACAAATCCTCATAAAAGAGATGTTTCCTGTGCAATAGTATACGTTTTTAACTGTACTTCATAATTTATCCAAATTATTTGAAGTCACCATTTCATTTGGAAACTTTTACAGTACTCCATACTAATAACTCTGAAGCAACTAGCACTTTTATCTGTGAATCTGCCCAAATGATGAAACATGCAAATTAACTGACCCCTCCAACCTTAAAACTGCTTAAACTCCTAGAGATAAAAACATGATACATGAAAGACATCTACCTTCCCCTTTCTAAGAAGTTTCACAAAATAATCAAAAGAAAAAGGCAGCAAAACCCATACAATTTTCTAGACCTTTAATTTCTACCAGTATGCAAAGTATAATTTGCCATCATAAATATCCTACCAAATAACTCTAAAACATAAGGAAATGAAGAAAATATCTGGTTTGAGTACCAGTGATCAGCTCGGTTCCAAAAATAAGATTGGTAGTGTAAATAGCATTCACTAAGTTGCCTGGAAGATGAGACAATCTGAGGTGTAGAACGATGTCCCTTCTTTGTCTCACCCCACTATGACTCCCCCCTGCTGTAAATTAGGCACGTTGAAAAGGAAACATTTTCAGTTGGCATTAAGAGACATACATTGTCAATAACGGAACAGGCTACAATATATGGTTATGAAACCAAGTAAAACAAATTATAAAGATATTATACTGGCAAGTGACAGCTGCCTCCTGAAAGCGACACTTAAAGAAAGAGAACCGACTTTGTTTCAGATGGAGTAAAACCCTAGATACATCTGTCTGCTAAGAAACAAGCAGTACAATACTAGAAACCATCAATACAGCAATACAAACAATTATTCTAACGATTTATTCAAATTCTCTGTTTGGGTAAGGGTAGTTGCAACCAATTTGCCTCATTAAACTACCGACTTGTGCCTTTCTTGATCAACTCCTTGGTTCTATGTGAAGAGGCTTTATTGCAGGATAACAGAGGGTAAGACGGCACTAAAAATATAATTGCGTTTAAGAGTATTAACAGAAGTTATTTGAAAAGGTGACAAAATCCTCTCAATAAAATTGTAAGTCACAGCTACATATATGTTTTTAAAGAAATCTAAGGATTCATTCTTCAAATATTTTACTAATTTTTTAAACCAAAATATCTTGAATTCAAAAAAATATCTCTTGAGCAGGTTGCACTTGCTCAAATAAATTAATTCACCAGAAGATGTATGACTGGAAATTGAGAGAACTTCCTCTGTATTTGGGGGTATAAAGCAGCAGTCTGACTGGAAATTGAGAGAACTTCCTCTGTATCTGGGGGTATAAAGCAGCAGTCCTTCTTTACTAGCTTTGCTTACTAGCATAAATTAGTAGCATTTGTTCTACAATCACCTCATCTAAAAGAACAGATTACGCCTTGGAAGAAGGAAAAAAAGAAGGGGTTTCTTGTTTGCTTTTTTTGCTTATTTGGTTTAAACAAAGGAGACATGCTATGAACCAGTGACTTCATCCTGGCTGCACGTTGTCTTTTGGCACTGATGTAAAGTCATCTCTCAAAGATGAGATGTCACAATCAAGTTTTTTTCCAGTCCACAAAGATAGCCTTCTGTCTAAAGCATTTCACTAGTTTTTAATAGTACATATCTAAACTGTTTACAAGCATTAGTCAGGATTAAACAACATGAAGTTACAGGTAATTTAATCCTCTTCCTTAATTCTTTCATCTTTCAAGATGAACTAATGGTATGGGTATACCAGGCAATTATCAGAAGCCAGATCAGTGTATTAATTAAATAACACAAGAAATTACACGCACTCATGCTCCTTCTTTTCATGAGAAAGCAAGGTAACTTGTCCTTTGCTTTTACTATGGGATAAGAAGGTACAACAAAGTAGCTAAACACTGTAAATTCACACCAACCTACTTAATGTAGCCGGGTCTTTCATTTTCAAATGAAGTGTTATTTAAATGCAATTGCTCCTCATTTGCATAACAGTTCTTCCTATAAACACCCTTTAACAATAAAGCATGTTTATATTTGAAAAAGCCTTCAACCTCTATTTACCTCTGATGGCTTGCTACTGCCTACATACGGTATTACCAAAAAAGACCCTAGTTCAGACTCTACTACTGTAATCCTTTGGTCAAAATAAAGTAAGGGCCTTTTCTCTTTCCACAAAATTTATATACAAACTGCTTTGTCTCCTTTGAGTCTCACAGGAGCTCAGACAGCCAACACAAATTGGAAATGACATCACAAACTTCTTCGGGACAAAGCTAGGTTCTCCAACACCAACCAACCAAGACATAAAGCAGGTCCCTTTATGTGTATTAATGACCAACAACTCTCATACATAAAACAAGACACTATTACTGGGTATGAGAGAAACACCATCTAGAGAGGCAAAGGAGCTGGTAAGCCTTAGCTAGCTATAGGGAGTTTCTCCTGTTTCCAAGCTGCCAGACTGCATTATACATATCACACTTTTCACCCCTGTTAAATGTAGATTAAAGAAGCAGCCAAAATCAGCAAATTGGGCTAATGAGTTTGTGCAATTGCCGCATTGGAGTTTTCAGCAGCATGTCAGTTCAGGACTCCTTAATATTATGAAAGAAAGCAAACACTTATGTATCTGCAGCCACAACATCAAAGTTTGAGTGTTTCTGGGGTCAGTCCCAAGCATACAAAAAATCAGTAGTATTGAAGCTAATATGTTGGTGCTATCACATGGTTTTTACCATCTAGGCCAGTCTCTCAACAGAAGTTGTCAGGAAGATAGTTTTTTTTACTGTCAAAAATGTCAACCTAAATGTCAAAGGTACAGCTCCCAGAGCCCAGCTGTGACCCACAGTGACTACCTATCTTAGAGCAAGATGGAGAGCAGAGTAGGGGAAATCCTGCCAGCTTTCGAGAGCCTCCCCCATTACAAGGTAGGACAGAAGACTGGAGAGTGCTCAGACATAAAAAAAGAACTTGCAAGACAGCACTTAACAACACTGCCTAATGTCACCCCCCCTGTAATTATTTGAAGGGATTTATTTAACAAAGTACCTTGTAAATAGACATTAAAGATATTTTTGCCCTTCCTGTTTGCAAAGGAGTCTACAACCATATTCTGTTACAGCCACAGTATCAAGTGGGACAATCTAGAGCTCCAAGACACTTTCAAATAAATTCAAGCTGCGGTGCTTTATTAATATGAACATGGTTCTGCATGAACACTTAGAGAGCTTAGACAATGCCCAGATGTAACAGGAAATAGAAACCAAGGAGAGAAAAAAAAAAAGAAGTAGAGGACAGCGCAACCTTTGATTTTAAGGCACAGGCTCTCCAGGGTACCCGCCCCACCCTGACCCCACACCTCACAACCAGAGTGTCTTCACACCAACATGCTTCCTGCAAGCAGAGGTCTACTGTAAAGCCACTCTACCACCAAACCTGATAAAGGAAGGAACAGAACACAAGAATTCAAAACTTACCTTTTCCAAGATGAATTTGTTTAGATAAGGCATGTAACCCTGATTGGAAACTGGTCCCTCATCATCATCCCTAAAGTGCTCCTCCAAGGCCACTGGATCGTGGGGCACATTTAACACCGTGCACAAGTTGTGAGAAAGGACCTAAGGACACAAGAGAAATCAGTGACACTGCTGTCAGCCTTAACCACGCTGCAGTCCCTCCAGAGCAGACCTGTGATTCGCAAAACCATGCACAGAAGGTGATGCCTTCACGTCAGCACAAGTTCTGCCCTGTGGATTTTTGTGAAATGTAACTAAAAACATTGACTCTGAGGATTGGAGGGCTTCAGACAGTTGCCCGTTTACAGAAGCAATGCAATCACAGATAGGTCCATTCCTACACAAGTGCCAACACAGCTACAGAAGCTTCCCTTTGTACACATAGACTTGAAAATCAGGAGGCATGCAGAAACACCAAAGTAGTATTTACAGCTTGCAACTACATAGCCATGGAAAACAACCACAAACACCTAGCCTTTGAAGTTATAAATATTTACTATCTAGCGAAAAGAAGTAAAGAAGAAAACAACTCAATATGCACCTTTACTTTACAAAGGAATGACTACTCAAAGTATTAACTACGGATTTCTCTCATCTGCTTGCTTTCGGGTTGCTGTTCAACATTCAGCCCATATTTCAGTTGGCAAAGGAAAAGCAACATTTATAGAAAGGGGAAGGGTTTAGGCGTGCTTCTGAAATTTTTATTTTAAAAAGGTATTTGCATGAATTTTGTCAAGACCTTAACACCCACCAGCACCCACCATTTCTTGAGAAATGACCTTCAAGAAGAGGCTACACGCTTGACTCGTTTTAAGGAAGTAGAATTGTTGAAAACTAACTGATAGCCAACGCATCTCAACTTCTTTAACTTGGGCCAAGTTTTGTACACACAAGGTACCAACAAGAGGAAGGCAGAGCCTGGATAGCAGTGACTCCTGGGCCACCAACACTTTCCTAAGAAAGGCAAAGAACTGTCCCTTTCATTGTTCACACTGTTTCGAGTCAGGTCAGTCCTATAACATGATGCCCACCAGGACTTAAACATGCTGTCACTCAGGAGCCCTCTCCCCTTGGCATGATGCAGAGTTAAGCCTCTGAAGACCATGTACCAGCTACAGGAACCTGGTTAAGGATTTAACTTCACCTGCCCAGGAATGATCTGTACTGAAAAACTGTAACTAAGAACCAAAGGCAAAATAATGCAGGTAAAACAAAGTCAGGCAGAAGTAAAACATTGGGTCTTTTGAAAATGCATGCTGCTTGTGGTATTTTAAAATCAACAACCAGATGGGACAGACTGCAACTGAATTTTGGCATATGTTTTACTTTTTCACTGTGCAGCACAAAATTAAAAAAACCCACACCCGAATCATGCAAAGAGAAAGCAGTAAAAATATGTGCAGAAAATATTTAAGTGCTCTCTTTAGGTGAGCAGACATAAAGCAGTCAAGATGGGGTAGCTGCAAAACAAGAAGTGAAAGTCTGAAGTCGTCAAAGCCTAGGAAATCAAACCTCTGCCAGATGCTTAAAAAGTCCAGATTTCCTGCCCCCGCCCCCCAAAAAATATGTACATTTACTTTTCTTAGGTATGATAAGAAAACATGCAGAGTCTAAGCACTAGTTACCATAAAATCCTACAAAGATAGCCCAAGGTGCAAGCTCAGTTCAGAGGAGACTTCCTCTCTACATACCTCCAAAGTTTTCTCCTAGAAAAGCACAAATTTCCATGAGAAGTACATATTATCATTGCTGTATGCTAACATTAAGCCACTGGAGCTAACCAGGAGCAAAAGTTTAAAAACAGAACAGCAATAGCATCAGCAATATTACAACAAAAACTGTTATTTCCTGAAGTAGCAAAATAGTAGTTAGAAGTTATCACACTTCACACTATTTCAATAGTATATTTCCCTTCAATCTATCCTTATTTTTAACCACCGCATCAAATCAAGTATTTGAGTCCATGTGATTTACATATGGGGGGAAAAACGTCCTATCATGTGTGTTTCCCCTTCTATTTAAGGCATCTGTTGTTATTTATAGAAGACTGAGGGATTCTTGAATTTCTGAGAGATAAAGATGATCTCATTTTTCCAACCAGACTGTAGTTGCTAATACTATAACTAAAAAAATACTCAGCTAATAAAAATATTCTAAAAGTATAACTGATTTAAGCTTATCACCAAAATAACTTAAAAGTCTCGATAAAACACTTCCTCATCATGTCCTTTCTACATGTTTCCTTTCTCCCTTTTTCAGCCGCCTTGCTCTGTTTGGCCCGTCAGAAACCTAGGTGGTTTCCACATCAAGCAAGCAATTTACCAGGAAAGAATTCCACTTCCAATCGTTTTCTAAGATCTGCCTTATCTGCCACCTCTCCTGTGCCCAGTACTCTCTTTTCATAACTCAGGAAATTCCTCGGTGCCTGCCAAAGCCTGCCACTCTAACCCGGCCAAGCGCCAGCTGAATTCTTCAGTTGCAGGGTAAGCCTGAAAAATTCTGCACTGAGGTCTCATTTTGGGGTTTTTTTTTGTTCTCTCAAATCACATTATCCGGACCATGATATACTCTATTTTAATGATCAATTTAAAAAAAAAAGAAAAAAAATAATCTAGCTGAATACTAGGTGAATTGGGGTACGAAAAATCGCCTTGCCTTGCAGAAGCTCTGTCAACCATGAGGAAGTTTTGCACCAGTGAGGATTATTCCCCCCATGCCCACAGGGTTGCTAGGCAGCTCTTTCTTCCAATGCTTATTATGCTCTGGATGCCAAGTTTAACCACCTACCTTCATGCCAGAGCCAGCTCCTACCCCAGGCTGGAGACCCATCTCCATGCTGCAGCAAATGGGTACTGTGGTGGTCCCCAAACCGTAGTCACTGAGACAGCACAAGCAGTCTGCAAGGGGTCTGCAAAACCAGTGCCCTCTGGGCACAATTTTTCCATTTGCAATTAAAAGTTTCATAAGAAAGATGCCCAGCGGTGCCCAGGGAATCCTGAAGGTGTTCTGCTCTAAATATAAATAACCAGATGAAACAAGCAAGCTGGACACCAAAGGTCATTACAGACTTTGTATTTACTTTATTTATGGCTGGTCTCATGCTGCTACACCTGAAGTGTAGATCTCCAGCCCAGCTCTACTCTGCCACAGCTACTCTCCTCCCATCTCCCATTTTCCAAAACATTGATCTTCTAAAACTTCAAGCACGTGTTGAATTGTTACCATCTGAGTAGTTCCGTTTAACCTTGTCCATAAAAGTGATCTGTATTTCTAAAGGGATAAGGAAGATCTGCTAGACTACTTACTGCTTAGCGACAAAATTTTGGCCCAGATGACAGCAGGCGCACTAACAGGGCAGACTAATCCTACAGTGGCTATTGTCAGCTTCTTCAGTACTTTTTTCTTTTTCTTTTCCATCTTTCAGGGGGGTCTTTTCCCTCCCCCGTCTCTTTTTAAGATTGTAAAACGTTGGCATTGCAGTTCCCGACAGCTCCATTCAGTGGCTTTTGTGTGAATTCATTCCAAGACATTCTTGGCTCATCTCTCCCTGACATCCATGTCAGCAGCTACCCAGCCAAAGTAACACTACTCACAAGTACTCTCCCGTTCCCTTTTCTGATCAGCGTGGAAAGCAGCATCGTATATGCCCCCTTGTCACAGGCACAAGGTCTTTTTCAGCCAAGGTACGTCTTAAGCATATAGTTTCTTGCACCATAGCATCTCCCAGGTACAGCTTCCTTATCCACTTGGGTATCTCCATTCAGAATCTCATTATTTTACATTGGGGTTAGTGCAGCAACCTCTTCCCCAGCCGGACAAGTGTATTCAAGCCCAGTATCCACCAGCTCAAATTCCTGATGCTAACGCCCTTCACCCACATCACCTCTTCGTTCCTTCATTTGCTCCCTGCTCCCTTGGGCAGTCACAGACCCCTTGTCACCATCCTCAACAACCTCAGCCTTCCTCTTGCCCTCATTATCAGCACATCCCCGTTGGCCCCTAGTCACATACTGGTGCCAGCCCGCATCTTTCCAATTGCCAAGGGAATTGCCTTTCTGCCCTGCGGCTCCTGGCCCTTAGGAAGAGCTTCCAGTAAGTATCCTCCACCTACTGAGCCTTTTTTCTACTTCTTCCTTGAAACCAGGTGACAAAACCTCAAGGACAAAGGTTAAACGGGCTGCTGCTCCACTGGCAGCTGCTGATCTCAGGTGCGGCATCATAGCCCTGTGATTTCCTAATCTCTCCCATTTTGGTCTACAAGCTGCCTTGGTTTGCCAGCTCTCCTGGAAGAGGGGCATCCCTCCCCTCGCCCCTTACAGACACAATTTCTCATGGATACCCGAATACGAACGCTTCTGAGCCCCGTTAATAATGTCAGAGCACAAGTCTCTCATAGTGAGTCATCGTGACTAATTTCCTACCATCCCTCAATGTTGTACAAAGTCAATTGTCCGGCCGGGGTCCTGCCCACTCGTCACAGGCTCTCAACCCTTCCAGTGCCTTGCTACATTGTTCGAGGTCTTCCTCTCCGTTCAGACCATCCCTCTTGCCCCTGGTTACACCATTCTTCCTCTTCCCACCGGCCACTGACTTCCCATTCAGTAAAAAAGGCAAAACAAAGATAAGAGATACAATAATCCTATACCATCCTAGATAGGATTAAAGACTGGCTTAAATTTTCTAAACCTTGGTCACCCACATGTTCTGGGCCCGAAGGAGACAGTATTTTCACAAGGTGCTCACCATCCATGCCCTGCAGATATCACACCAGCAATCCAAGACTTTAAAAATCCACCTCACAAAATGAACACACAAAATGAAGTAGAAACAAGTCACAAAGCAACGTAAGGAAGAGCTTCCAGAGTGTAAAGATTAATTGGTATGTAGTCTTTCCAAGATCCAATCATACACATATACTACAAGGAGTGTTGCTGGCTACATTTAAACTACATTTAAAATGACTTTGTTTCAAGATTCAGATGAAAAGCAGACTGAATGCTGGCACATTACAGAAACTTTTAATGTAAGTCACTTTTAAACTTGCAGATTGCAAGAAAGATGAAACTGGATTTAAATATAGGAAAGCAAGTATTTGCATGTAGCTTGTGTTCGAATCACAACAGCAGCTATAACTGCAGACACAAAACTTATACTTTAGTTTTGCTATATCAGTGTTTGAAAGGGCTGGAACACACTGAGAACATAATGATTGTGTCCATATTTAAAGATGTAATTTAAGAAAAGAATACAGACATTTTTCTGCTGATGTAGAAAAAGGGCAAGATCTGCAGCCAGTAGAATTTCTGAAGATTACTGATTAGACAAGAAAAAAATTTAAAAATCAGTGCATACTGGAAGAAGATAATATTCAAAATTACAGAGAGGACTGATTTGACCATCTCTTCTCTCAGCAGCTCAGCCCATATCTTTACAAAAGATACAAATGGATAGAAGACATCTCATGAAATCCTTACTATTCCAAGCAAGTCCTAGTTTTTCCTCCAAGTGTTTGCTGTTTCTCCAGACTACAAAACAGACCCAATTCACTCAGCTTCCATCCCTTTGCTCTAATAAAACAATGTGTGATGCAAGCCCTTTAAAGTAGGCTTCAGCTACGTAACACACATTAAACTTTCTCACAGTATTTAATGAAAAGTATTTATTATTATGGAAGGTTCAAAGATCGCTTCTATAGGTAGAGAAACTGGAAATCACTTTCTTTAACAAACCACATGTTATACTTAGGACTTTATATGCAACATGATGGCAATACCTTATACTGGCTTATCCAACTCAAAGATCCGTTGTCAATAAGTTTTCTTAATGAGGAGGGAAGAGTTCAACAAGTTGCAACACTGCATGCTGTTCTCAGAAAACAATAGGAGGGTGTTTTTTTTTTTATAACAGGAGTATCATTAAACTATTAAACATATTTTTCTAATGCCACAGATCTCCACTAACCTGTTTATCTCCAAGCCTCATCTCTCCATTTTCTAGGGGTGCTGTACCTTCCCCACAGCAACGTGGATGAGAAGTACCTTATTGTGAAATACCTCCTTAATACAACTTATCTCTAAATCAATCAGGCAGGAACTTCTGTTTTGCTGTCCTGCCTACCCCTTTCTGCTGTGCCAATGTGGTGCTACTGCCACAACGTACACCATTTCTCCCCAGTAGGACTATCAGCTTGACATCACATTCATCATTTGCCACAAAAAGCCAATGGAAGAACACCCTCTACTTCTTCCTGTGTTCCCTGAAAACTAACTCCTGGTGGCCACTGGAGAAGGCAGCAACCTCATTTCAGACTTGTTTCTGCATTCCCCTACTTGACACTTCCCTCAGGAACCTTTGTATCACAGACAGAACTGCACAGACCCACGAAGAACCACTTTTTTTTTCATCCCTCCTCTCTTTGATAGACAGAATGAAACATCAAAACGGTTTAGGAAGATGTCTGACAGGCAACAAGACAAGTTTAATTTCCTCTCTCTCCTTTTTATTTTTTTACCTTTTGTAAACACAAGCACTTGTAGACATGGGGCTCTAATAAGACAGCAGAGCGTGACAACGCAAGCAACTGTGCTTCAGTCTGGAAATACAACCACTGCTCTGATCCACCTACATCAGTCAGTGATCTTAGAGGGGAAGTGATGACACCTCCATCACAGCAAGCCATCCAAGCCCACCAGCATCCTGCACCAGCTGCTTCTTTAGCCACTTAATTCACCCAAGCACCCGTGTGACCATGACAGCTTCCTCACTGACCAGCACGCCCACACGTGATGCAGACACACCTCCTGGGTCACCACACTGAGCACACAAATCACAGCTGCGCACAAGCGTGACAGGAAAACAGGATTCCTTTAAAAAGCAGGACAATAAAAAAACGCCTCCTCTCTGCAACATTCTTCAGTTAGTTCCGCAACACTAACAGTCACTTTTGTGACGCCACCCGTGAAAGACCTGGGGCCTGCACAGGTTTTCAGCTTGAGCTTGCAGTCAGGTCTGGCCTCTCACCTGACTCCTGCCCCGCAGTCACTCCTGGCCAAGTTAGGCTGCTGTTATCTCGCAGCCTGATCACCCCGAGCGAAGAAAAGGAGAAGAGGAAGAGGCTGCTTGCAGCACGTTGCATGTTGTGGACACTTATTACATAATGCTGAAAACAAAGTCCATTAGCTACTGACCAGGCTTGGAAATATCACCCACAGCGCAGCCACTTTCCCTCGTGGAGCTGATCCCACAAAGGCCACAAACTTCAAGTAATCATTGTGGCCAACACAATTCCAGCACTTGGTACAAGGACCCACAGTCTCAAATGTCGACAGGTGTTGCGTTCTTATTCAAAATATTTATTTAGCCAGATTCCTGCTATTATTCCCAGGCCAAGACAGCCCCATAAAGCAGGGCCAAGACGGGATCAGATTCAGCAAGCTGCCTGAGAGCTCTTTTAAGAGCACAAACATTACTTCAGCGTATAAGCTAAGCAAAGAATGGCACAGTTGGAGCCTCTTGACTAATTCTCCTGTTTATATCCAAATAAGAGAGCACTGTGGAACCTCGCTCTCCCCTTGGCAAGCCATGAATTTGGCTTGGACGCAGCCAGCCCCTATAGATGGGACCTTGTGGCTACCCCACAAAAGGTTTTGGCCAGCAAGGGTACCAAGGACAGGCGGTTGAAAGCGGACCAGAAGCACAACAAGGGTTTGTGCGTTGACGTCTTGGGGAGGACGAAGCACTTGCCAGGGCTGACTGAAAACCAGCCCCCGAGGGCGCGAGGCAGGGCCCGCACAAGCCTCCCACAGGACAGGCCCCACACCAACGGCACCCCAACGGAGAAAACGCGATTTTCACAGCACCCAAGCCAGCTTCGAAAAGGGGCAGCCTCATCCCCTCACCCGGCCCCCAGCGTGACCGCCTCAGGCCGAGCACTGCCACGGTCACCGTGGAGGCAGCTGGTGGGGTCGCCCCACGCCCGTGTCACGGCCCCTCAGGCCCATGGCGGCGGCCCTTCGCGCCCACATCGGGTCCCGGCCCCACACCGCTCCCCCCGGGCCCCGCCACCCCGCTCTCCTCGCTGCCCCCGCCCGGGCCGGGCCGCCCCGCTTTACCTTGAGCTGGGACTTGGAGACCTTCCCGCTGCGGTCGAGGTCCAGGGCGGTGAAGGCGTGCCAGATGGACTTCAGCAGCTCCTCCTTGAGGCCCACCATGGCCGGCCCGACGGCTGC